TAATGGATTTAGCCCATTAGCTGAACCCATTTTTTTTCAGCCCACCATGGCGCACCATCAACTAGGGTGGCTACTTCTTAATTCCAATTTCCAACTTCATTTGAGGGCCTGATGGATAAGGAGTGAATTTTATTGAGAAAATTTTTATTGGAAAAGTATTTAGAAAAATAATGTATAAAAAGTTAATAAACTTTGTAACAAAATTTTATTAAAATTTTGTTAAATTATTTTTTTTTTTGTGTTTAATAAAAAATTAACGTTGAAAAGGTTCCTCAAAAAATTGTCAAATAAGTCTCATATATAAAAAAAAAAAAAGGATTTTCATAAGAGTGCAATAAATGTACTTTTTTATAATTAATGTATATAGAAAATAATAAAGATTAATTTGAATCTAATTAATTGACTAATTAAAACTATTCAGGTAACAATATCACTAAAATAAATATTAACTTTTATTTTTTTGTGTAAAATAAATGTAAAAAATATATTTATGGCATCTTAACTTATGCTCTTAGGCATAGACAAACCCTAAAAAAAATTATAATAAACTTTTTTCCTTTCTCAAGTGTGAGAATAAAAAAATTTTTTATTAAAAATTGTGTCAAATAAAAAAATAATTAAAAATATCTTTTTTTATTTTATTATAATATTAAAATATAAAAATAGTCTTATGAAAAAAAGTTCGAGAAAAACTCTTTTCCCAACCAAACACACCTCAATGATGTTGTTTATTGGACTTAGCTTACAAAAAAAACAACCAATCAATATATGCTTTTCCAAATACAAAAATCAATACTTTTCTCAAAGAAATAAAAATAAAAATCAAGTTGCCTGAATTATTAGTATTTATTGGACTGGCTCTCGCTGAATCTTTGCCACAAAATGTCAAGTTGCCTTAAGTTGATTTTTCAATCATTGACTCCACACCTTCAACGACTTCAGCTTTCCCCACCTTCAGTCAAGCTCTGCTTTCCTCATTTTCTCTAAACCGAAAAACTCAGCAAAAATCACACCATGCAAATGGAAAAGCTTCTTCTTTTTCTCCTCTTGTTCTTCTCAATCCTGCTTTCCCCTGCAGCTTACACTCCCCCAAATCACTTCTTCATCAACTGTGGCTCAGATACAAACGCAAGCGTCAGCGGCAACCCCAACCGGACCTTTATCGGGGATTTGATCTACCCAGGTTCCTTGTCTTTTACCAAACAGGGAAGTAATTATGCAACCAACAGCCAGACATCGGATGTTCTGTACCAAACAGCAAGAATTTTCAAGCAGCAG